ATCAAATCCTAACCCCAACCCTTACCAGACCCTAACCCTTATCAAATCCTAACCCAAATCCTTACCAGACCCTAACCCTTATCAAATCCTAACCCAAACCCTTACCAAACCCTAACCCTTATCAAATCCCAGCCCCAACCCTTACCAGATCCTAATCCTTATCAAATCATAACCCTTACCAGACCCTAACCCTTATCAAATCATAACCCTTATCAAATCCCAACCCTTACCAGACCCTAACCCTTATCAAATCCCAACCCTTTCCAGACCCTAACCCTTATCAAATCCCAACCCTTTCCAGACCCTAACCCTTATCAAATCCCAACCCTTTCCAGACCCTAACCCTTATCCAGTCCTAACCCCAGCCCTGATCAGAGAGCTCCAGGCCTGTGGTGCATTGCTCAGGATGGCCCAGGGAGCCCAGCAGTGCTCAGGGGTTCTGTACATCCCTGAATCATGTTCTGCAGCCAGGCTGATTACTGACACCACATAAAAAGCCCCAGTTCTGATTCTTCTGCTCCTGAGCACGGACCCTGAGAGCATTGCTGTGTCCTTTAGTCAGAGAATGTGGTTATGTGAAGCATGTCTTTGAGGTAAGCTTTTAAGAATGACTTTGTACATCATTAATTTTACCTTCCATATAATAAACTGCGTTCTAGATTAATCCCTAAAGGCCAAATATTATTGCTGTTACATGCATCCAATGTTCTTTTTTATAATTGGAGAGTTTCCTCAAGGAGAAGGCAGCTTTGCAACATTTATATTAGCCTTCCAAAGAAGAAATCTGCCCACTAAGACGACAGTCTTGTGAACTTTTAGCTGTGTTCTTTTTATATTTTTTTTATTTTTTTTTATTATTTCCTTTAATTCCATTGTTCCAGTAGAATGCAGCTGTTTCAGTGAGTGGAAAGTGATGATGTGTCCACAGAACAAGAAATGGTGCTGAAGGTCCCAGCCAGTGTTTTCAGCTAAGGAGGTGGACACAAGCCAGTGGAGGGTTTATGTAACTTCATCTCCTTTTGTACTCAGCACTAATCCCTTTCTTTGTGATGTATGGTATTTTGAATTTTTTTAACATTTCTTTTCATTCCTGATAAAAATTTAAGGATAAGAGAGTATGACTGCCTGGTTTATTTGTCGAATAGTTTATAGAAACCAGAAACAGCAAGCTTTGTCAGTCAGCATGAAATGTTCCAGTTCTGAGAAAAAATAATTGTTTCTTTTTTATTAACAACTAAGCAGTTTTCCAGTCCTGCTTTTCAGGAACACCCAAAACTTGTCCTCAACCTCACCAGTGTTTGGGATATACAAAGAAAGTAAGACTGAATCTGGAGCTGATAAATTTCCCATTGTAGTATCCTTACATTTGTGTTTGTAGATTTACCCCAGTTCAGCCAAATTCTACTTATGACACTCATTTGTATCCCAGTTAACTCCAAGAATCTTTTTCAGGATTTGTGCTAGTTTTCCTGAAGGAATAAATTGGTCTGATAATACCACAATCACAATGGGAAAAAAAAAGTAAAAAAAAAAAACAAACCAAAAAAAAACCCCAGAAAACAAACAAAACCCCCCCAAACACCCAAACAACCTGACAAAAACACAAAAAACACAAAAAACCCGGCAAACAAAGAAACAAACCAAACAAAAAAAACCCCAAAACAACCAAAAGAACCCCACTCTAAAACATAACTAGAATATTAAAATTTAATGTCATGACATATGTGGATTTTAAAGGAAAAGTCACATAGAGATCCCTCCCTCTGAGGGCTCAGATTCTTTGAGCTAAGCGCTTATTTTTTGGTTTTAGGATTTTTGTCCAACATGTGGGTAATTTTCTGGCCCATTTGTGAAAATGCAAGGCTTCCCATTACAGATAACCTGGGGTTTTAGAAGCTGTAATTCTGCAAATGCCACGTTTTAATCTGCGTGCCTTTTCCCTGCCAAATCTTTCCTTCACGCCTATGTGGTCTGACTTGATTCCAGAAAAAAAATCAGGATTGTATTACATATCTCTTTTTTCCCCCCAATTTTGGCCAGGATACCACTGCTTTTCTCCTGTTTGGGAGTGTAATAATATCATCCACCACCCTAAGGTATCGTGTCATTTGTAATCTTGGAGTATAAATACAGATTCCCTCCTTATCTCTCCTAAGGAACTTTTTATAAAGAATTGAACCTCCATGGATACAGAAAGAAATCCCCCCCATCTTTTTAACAAATAGATTTGAGATGGTTTATCTGAAATGCTAGAATCTGCAAAATTCTTGGGTTTATTATGTATTGCAAAATGATTTTATTTAATCATCTCAAATCAAGTGGCATTTGAGCCTTTCCAACTAGTTTAGGAGTTCTGTGCTGTACTCTGTCAACATCAGGAGCCTTCCCTGAGAAAGCTTCTGTCCAATTTTTCTTCAAAGGAATGCTTTTTGGAAGACTTTGTGATTTTATGCTCGGTGTTTTCCAGCAGACACTCATTGCACAAGTCTCCTGCTTTGATGGTTAGTGATGCAGGGAATGGGGATGTAGCCTTGAGGCTCAGCCACTTCCTGCTCTTCCAGGATCATGTTCTAAAATGCAACCAGAACTTTCAAATTAGTTTAGTCTAGAAATACTTGAGGAAACTCTCTGCTTGCTAATTTGGAGGAATTTGATATGCAATGGAAGTGCAGAAAACATTTCTGTGCTCGTTTACTGGAACAAGGATGGGCTATAACATAATGTCTATCCAGAATCCAAACATTTCAGCTCCTGCTTTTGCAGGCAAGTCATAAATCTGGCTTGTAATAACCACTCCCAGCTGCTCACAACTCCTTCCTTTGCTTGCAGGGTTTGGTTTTGGGGTTCCTTGTGATTCCATTCACTGTTGGGACAAAAAGTAGGATGTATTCAGCTGGAATAAGAATTTACTTAACGTGCAAATGCACATGGTTAGGTCTACGATGATCTTTAGGGGTATGAAAGCAGCTGAGTTAACTGAAAATAGTGATTTTATTCTTGGAGAGCACCAATTCTTGGGCTTCTCAAGAAACATTCATTGGTGGAGCGTGTGCCAGGCACAGACTCAGCTAGACTGGGAAAATGTTTCATTGGTCATTGTGGAATTGCTTGTATCTGATTCATCCTATTCATCCTTACACATAATTAGGTAAAATTCACCTAGATTAAACATATTCTTCAAGTTTTTAGCCAAGAATGTGAATTATGCTGCAGCAGCACTTTGTATCTGACAAGGGAGCCAGCGCAATTTGTACAGTAATTTGTAATATTTCCATTTTTTTAGAAAAGCTGTCCTTTTAAAGAATTTTCTGATGACCTCCTAAGAGCTTTTTCAATGGGAATGATCACGCTTTTGTATGACCTGCAATGGTGTTTTATTGTGTTTGAGATGGTATCAAATCACTCATTCTTCTCTCAGAGCTGCCACCAAAATTGGGTTTTGATTGAGGATGAGTTACTGCGAGATAGGGATAAAAGGTCAATTGATATGGTCCTGGAATAATTGAGACAACCTTTCTGAGAGATAAGTAGGCAGTTTTATTTCTTTATTTTACTGATGCAGCAATAAGGCAGCCGGAATAAATACAGTTGGTGGCCGAAGCAGAATTGCTGGTCAGGGATTTCTTGGTGCTCAACTCACACACATTAAATTGTATCCAGCAGAAGTAGAAAATCTGCAGTCAGCTGAAGCCTCCACTGGATCCCACACTTCCCACTGCTTCCTGCTAATTAAAACCCAGCAAATGCTCACGTTGTGTTTGGTTACACAGATCCTACGAAGCGTTAAAAAAAACTTAAAGCGTATTAACGGCTTCAAATTTAAAACCCATTAGCCACTGCCCTGTTGACCAGCTAAAGAGAATTTCTCAGCACCCCTCTGGGCCAGTGCCACTTCATTCTGCCATGGAAATACAGAAATGTTTGTTGGCTTGGCTAAAAATGTTTGGGAATGCTGGCGGTATCCTTGAGTGAGATAACGAGGGTGGCTGCTCACTAAAGAGGAGCTGGTCCAATTAAAGATATTGCCTCTCTTATTTTAGAATGCAAAGGAGCATTTTTTTTTTGGTCAAAATACTTGTTTAATCTTATCTTTACTGCCAGAAGATTTTGGGGTTTTTTTTTATAGTTTTAATTGGTAGAAGTGTACGTTTGTGTGTGTGTGTTGTCAGAACCAGGATTCTGAAGAAGCCCCTCCAGAGCTGAATCTTGCTATAAATTGATAAATTTATGTATAACTTTTTATATAAAAAGCTTTTTTTTCCTCAAAATGGTAAGGTTTGTAATTCATTGCCTGAATGTTGACCCAATGCTGTGTGAATTGTGGCTCCATCAAATGAAACAGGACCAGGGAGCATTTTGAAGAGAAATTTTGCAATTTCAGAGCATTGCCTGTTTCCAGATAAAACTCAACAGTTTCTGATGAAATTTCTTTGAGATCTGATGAACAGAAGGCTTAAAGTACAATCCATGAAACACATATGCAGTGAGAAAGCTGTTTTGACACGACACCTTTGAGTAAAATCCTTGGAACACCAGCTCCAAATCTGCCTCTCTGGCTTTTGACTTGTACCATTTGAACTTCTCTGTTAACCATCAGTCAATCAAGAAAACAAAAATATCTGCAGTTTGGATTAAATAATGGATTCCCAATCATCTGAAATGATGAATATTTTATTATTTTCAGTTCATGAATATTTACAGGAAGCTCCAGTAATCAGCATCCACAAAAAACGATGGATATTTGCAGCCATGCTCTGAAAAGTCTGAATTCTCTTTAGCTGGAACTGAATTATTCTCCTGTCTTTGTTTTTTATTTTTATCTTTTATTTTGTGAGCTTTTAGTCTTCAGTTGAGTCTGCATGTTCTGAGGAAATTCACTGGAGTAGTGCTGAGCTAAGCAGAGAGAATGGTGAATATTCCACCCAAAGAAAAGACAAAATGAAAGATGTTGGCCGTGCACATCCTTATCTTTTCCCATTTTTCTCTTTACGTTTCCCTAGATCATAGATGAAGAGGAAACCCAGTTCATGAGCAACTGTCCTGTGGCTGTGACTGAGAGCACACCTCGGAGGAGAACACGAATCCAGGTGTTCTGGACAGCTCCTCCCGCTGGGACAGGCTGTGTGATCCTGAAGTAAGTATTTTATGGCATATTGAAGTAAAATTCACTTAATAAGTCGAATATTTATTGGAACCAATAGAATTCTTAATTCTCTTTTCTTCTTGGACACATTTGACCAAGTTTAGTTCTACCTGCATGGTGAAATGTTAGCAATTTAAAGACTAAATATTAAAAAGGAACTCCAAGACTTCAATAACCATTGAGTCAGCAACCTGAACTTGTAAGCCTTAAGTTTCACATAAAGAAAATAAATAAAAAAAATAATTTTCAAGACCAAAATTGCATCCCTCTGGTGAGTAAAAAAACATGCTGTTAGTTGAGATGGATTTTAGGAGTGTTCTGCAAAGTCATGATTGTTTAAATGGACCTTTATGAGAAAAACAAGATCCATTTGTTTAGAGGGGAATGCTTTCATTTTACACCTAGTGATCATTTACTGATGTTTTACTGTTATTGCACGCTCTCAGGTGGAATCATGCTTTTCAAGCAGTAAATAAAGATAACTCTATGTATGTTCATTTTGGTTTTAGAGTCACTCATTGGTCTGCAGAACTAAAAAGTGCCAGAGAAATGTTTCTTGTCTCTTAAGACTTTGTTTGCTGTATTTAATTGGACAGATTGGTCAAATATTCATGGACATTTGGGGTTTCTTTTCCTGCTTTGAATCCATGCCTGGGAGAAGCCTTAAAAATTGCTGAGATGTGCCCTGCAGCAGACCAAAGTATTTCAGAGAGGCTTTTCAGTGCTGGGGAAAGTGGCTTTAGGCTCTTGAGGAAGGGCTGTCACCAGGGTGGTGCTGAGGGTAGTTCAGACCAGTTCAGAAAAATGTTTTATTAGAATAGAAATTGGTTTCTGGACAGGCTGTGGAATTGCCACCAGCAAAACTGGCCTGTGGCTGCTTTCCTTTCACCCTGTGCTTCACTTCTCCTCCTGCTGATGGCCAGGAGACAGACAATCTCCTCTTCCACATCTCTGAGGGTTATTTGGACTCAGCTCTGCCTGTGGAGCAGTCTCAAACCATCCTCAGTGTGATTCTACTGGCTGCTTCTCGGTTTCAGCAGGATCATTTTAAGAATCCCCTGGTTTAATGTGCACTGAAGCAGCCCAAGAACACACTCACAGTCTTCACAGCACACTCAGACAAGTGCACATCAGGCTGCAATAAAACCCAAGTTGTGTTATGTTTGTGGATGGAATTTTTTGAGAGTTCCTTTGGCAATCCAGAAGATTCCTTGGGTGCTGCTGAGCTTTTTATCAGCAAAGCTCCTTGGTCTTCCCCCCAGGACTGACCCCCTCTTAGCTGCACAACCAATATTGCTTGAGGCAATTGCTATTTAAGTAAATCAGTAATAAGGTGATGATGTTTCATATGGCTTTTTTAAAGAGACAAGATTTAAACTTTAATTTATTCAACAACACAAGCTGATGGATTTATTTTATTTTTCATTACTGTCCTAAATAAAATTGCCATTACAAAAAACAAAACAAAACAAAAAAAAAAAAACCAAAAAAAACCCAAAAAACAAAAAAAGCAAAGCCATCAAGGTCTATATTTTTCTCACTGAAACTGAAACATCTGTGGTTGAAGTTGGTTCAGGGACCTGCTGAAACTTTTCAGAGAAGGAGTGCAGTAAAGTACCACCAACTGCAGGATCTTGATAAGTGTTTCTTCTCTCTCCTCGCTGCTGGTCAGGTCATGCTGGATGTTCCACATTGATTTTTTGTCTGTGAAGTACTCAAATCCTTGCAGCTCTCACAAAATGGAACAGTCAGAACAGCAGTTCTGATGTTCTGCACATGAAAGTATGAAATTGCCACTGCCTCAAAGAGTGTGCAGAGTGAACCACAACCTTCTCAGGCTGCTGGGTGTGCGTCAGTAGTGCCAAAAAACACTGAAGTGCCAATAAAGAGCTGGATTAGCTGACTGCCACCAGCTCTCATAACACATTTGGGAAAAGAAAAAAGCACCTTGGAAGGGCAGGTTCCTCCTTTAGCATTTTTCACCCAGGCTGAGATTAATTGTTAAATGCAGTAAATGATGGCTACATGCAGATAAGTTATATTCAATTTACCATTTAGAGGAGAAAATGCAGCTTTTGTGATTGGCTCTTGAGCTAATGAGTTCTCAGACAACTCATGTGCTCACAGTGCAGTTTCCCTGTTCACAGTGCAGTTTCCATGTTCACATTGCAGTTTCCATGCTCACAGAGCAGTTTCCATGTTCACATTGCAGTTTCCATGCTCACATGCAGTTTTTCCATGTTCACATTGCAGTTTCCATGTTCACATTGCAATTTTCCATGCTCACAGTGCAGTTTCCATGTTCACATTGCAGTTTCCATGTTCACATTGCAGTTTCCATGTTCACATGGCAGTTTCCAGGCTCACAGTGCAGTTTCCATGCTCACATTGCAGTTTCCATGTTCACATTGCAGTTTCCATGTTCACATGGCAGTTTCCATGTTCACATGGCAGTTTCCATGTTCACATGGCAGTTTCCATGTTCACATTGCAGTTTCCATGTTCACATTGCAATTTTCCATGCTCACATTGCAGTTTCCATGTTCACAGGTTTTTCCATGCTCACATTGCAGTTTCCCTGTTCACATTGCAGTTTCCATGTTCACATTGCACTTTCCATGTTCACAGGTTTTTCCATGCTCACATTGCAGTTTCCATGTTCACATTGCAGTTTCCATGCTCACATTGCAGTTTCCATATTCACAATGCAGTGTCCATGTTCACAGTGCAGTTTCCATGTTCACATTGCAGTTTCCATGTTTACAATGCAGTTTCCATGCTCACATTGCAGTTTCCATATTCACAGTTCAGTTTTCCATGCTCACATTGCAGTTTCCATGTTCACAATGCAGTTTCCATGCTCACAGTGCAGTTTTTCCATGTTCACAATGCAGTTTCCATGCTCACATTGCAGTTTCCATGCTCACATTGCAGTTTCCATGTTCTCTTTTCACCCTTTCTTTCCCTATTTTCCTTCCCTTTTTTCTTGGGACCCATCCCACTCCAACGTGTCGCACATCAAGATGGGAAGTCCAGGTCATTCCTTCATCTTCTGATAGAAATTTCTGCTTTAAAATTCACCTGTTAGGTTTCTGATCTCCTCAGAATGCATTTGCTTTCTAGGATCTTTGAAAACCCACTGTTAAAACCTCCTTGAGGAAAGTTTATTCTTATTTTTGCAGTGTGCAATTATACAGAAAATAATTACACAGGCAATAGAGCAGCGACAGATCCTGGTGGTGTTTGTATCATCACAATGAAGTAGAGAAATTTTCAGGGTTTGGAACCCTGTCTTGGTCAATCTGTTTTAATATTTTGTTGAAGTGGGTGAAAATTGTTTTAAGAAACACCCTTTTTTCTACATATAAAGTTTCATGCTTGGTGTAGCATATTCTGCTTTTCATAAAAAGCAGAACAGTACACATGATTGATTGATTGATTGATTAATTTTAATCTGACAGCTAATATTCAGAGACTGTGCTTAATTCTATAAAAACCCCTCCAGGTAATGGAAATTTATCTTGTTAAACAAGGAAAGTCTAAAGCATGGATTCAAATAGTGATTTTTCCCATTGACCAAAAAAAAAGGGTAATAAATGTTTACTGAAAGCTTCTTAGCAGTGATGGAAAATCACCTCTTTTAGCTTGCTTTGAGCCCCAGGTTTCTAGATTCAGCTGTTTGTTGTGTTCCCCAAGTCAGTGTCTCAGCTGAGTGTGGAGCTGAGCAGGTCTGAATTGGTGGGAAATACAGAACAAAAAGTTTCCTGCAAATCCTTTGCGATTCTGTTATGAAATACAAGAGCAAAGAAAAATTTTTCAAGTTCTCAGCTTGTCACAAATTAAAATTTCATGGTAGGGAGTATCTTGTTAATATCCAAATTGAGTAAATCTGTCAGCTGGGGTAGATCTCATGAGGAGTGGAGTACTGTGGGATGGTAATTATCTTCTCCTCCTTTTGCATTTGCTACTTTTCACCCAGGCTGAGATTAATTGTTAAATGCAGTAAATGATGGCTACATGCAGATAAGTTATATTCAATTTACCATTTAGAGGAGAAAATGCAGCTTTTGTGATTGGCTCTTGAGCTAATGAGTTCTCAGACAACTCATGTGACTTGTATGGTAAATGTAGCCAAAGTTCCTGCAGTCAAGTTATTTATTTCTGCTATGCATATCGTGCTTAAACAACCAACAAATTAAAATCTGCTATCTGTAAATACTGCTCATTACCATTAGGACTTGCAGAAATGCAGTGTGTTCATCACAGTGTCTCTGCTGTTTTGTTTCCGCAAATGTGTTCTGAGCCATCTCTAGGGAAATGTTTTGTAGTTCTTGAGGAAAAGTGTGGGGCTTCTTGTTTTCCTGAATATGGAATTATCATCATGATTTTAATTACACTGGCTCTTGCTTGCATATAATCAGAGAGCAGAGGAATTTTAAAGAATTGCAGCCATCTAAATAAAAGCTATGGCATGTTTAGTGTGTATTAGTGTAAGCAAAATATTTTAGATAGTTGTTCTGCTGGAGCAAAGCTGTCCTGTCTATGAGGATAAATTCAGTTCTAAATTCAATTCATGGGCCTTGGGTGAAACATCCAGTTTCCAACCTCCTTGTGGATTCTGACCATCCTCTTCCTCTCGAGCTTTGAAGCTCTGAGGGTGAATGAACTCCAGTTTTTGGATGTTTTCCTTTTGATTCCTTGTGACTTCAAGCATCCTGTTGATGCAGTCACTTGGCCTGTTGCTCTGAGGAATCCCTGAGCGTTTGCTCTGGGCTGAAATCAGCTGTAGAAGAGACTAAAAGAACCAAATATCCTAAAACCTCAGGAGTTCATAACCACATCCACATCCTGAAGGTGCCTTGGTGTGCAGCCACATCTCTCCAAACTCATGATGGATATGTGAGTTATGGGTCACAGAGCATGTGGCAGCTGGATAACAAATCCCAAAATTCACAGCTTTGTGGATTAATGCGTGCCCAAGAAATTAACAC